AGATATATATATATAAACAAACATGTAGATATTGATCATAGACATACACACGCAAACACATATATATCGTGGCGCACGTTGACATCTATGTATTTGCCACTTCTGTAAAATCTAGAAACTACTTGCAAAGGTAGAAACCATTCGTTAAATACTAGAAACCATTTTCTAGATAAGTAGAATGCGTAGAAACCATTAATTAGCTAGATAAGTAAAATATGTAAACCATTTGCTAAGCAAAGTAGAAAATGTAGAGACCATTTGCGAAATCATGTTGGTTTACCAGGAACCACTACTTAAATCAAAGGGTAATATTTGAAAGAACAAATTGTTATTGACCATGTTATCAGGGTAACCTATTAAATTTTGGAACCGTCGTTTGCTAGTAGTAGTTGGTGGTGAGAAAGAACCCATGTCTTTACCCCACATGCCAGTTCAATAGTACTAGCGCACCCTTCACCCACGGTTCGCCACAGTGAAACTGTTGACCCTTGAAACTTGAAACCATCTAAATTCCAGTTGGGAGTACGTTCACATCATACCCTGTGGCAATGTTGCTTCAACTCAAGAAAGGGTGTGGCAAATAGCAACAAAAGCAGGCATACTATGTGCCCAACGCACTTTGTGCCAAATGCGCCATACAACACTGCAAAAACTTCCACAGGCGATATCCACAAGTTGCGGGGTCCAAAAAATAAAATATGCCCCCCAATCAAGACCCAAATGGGTTCTGATTCCAACCAACCCAGTTTGCTGGTTCGAACAAATGTGTGGCTGATAGCAAAGGTGAGTTTGGAGATGTTGTGAGCCGGGTTTTGCCACATGGCATTTATGACACCTCAAAAGATACCCAAGTCAGGGAGACAGTCTCTGAAGTGCGAAGTTTGGCTACTTTGCAAGAGCCGAGTCTTTCCCCAAGAGTCAAGATTGGTGTGTACTTGAATTTTTCCCTGTTTGTCGTGGGAGCCTGGGGAACCCGGTTTCTTGGGGAGCCTACCAACCTAAACCCGCTAAGACGCACATATTTAAAAAAAACTGTGTCTTAATTTGGGCCCCAAACCCAAAAACGATTTCTTGAACGGGGCCCCAAGCCAAGAAACTACTTACAAAACCATGTTTTTTCGCCGATCCAGACCATTGGACCAGGATGGCAGTCAACGCGTTCCATGAGAAAAGAATTGGGTTTGGAACCGCTTGGGGATCTGGATCTGGAACCATACGGTCAAACAGAGTGCCCCGCACAAGTGAACCGTGTTCTTTTGGCTGTGGGTTGAATTTATTGACTGCAAAACTGCCAGGCTGTTGGTGCAGGTGTTTTTCATCCCCTTTTGTTCTATGTTCTTCCACCCCTCATCTCAGAATCAGGCGCTGTTACTTTCTTCCTTATCTGTAGACGTTTCTTGTGCTATATTATTATCTATGCCGATATTTGTCAACTTAAGCTATATTCATATTTAGTAAAAAACTAGACGACGGATGGCCCGAGAGCGTAGAGGAGCAGGGTCTTCTCTTGTTAGTATGGAGACACCATATTACAAAACAATATATTAAAGATGTGTTATAGGCATACGGGAAGAGGAGTATCAAGACAATATAGCACAAGTACAAGACAATAGTTTGCATCGCAAACACTTTTACACACAGAAGCTTTTACACACAGAAGCTTTTACACACAAAAGCTTTCACACACAGAAGCTTTTACATACAGGCACTTTCACACACAGATGCTTTTACACACAGACGCTTGTACACACAGACGCTTTTACACACAGACGCTTTTACACACAGACGCTTTTACACACAAACACTTTCACACACAAAAGCTTTTAGCCACAGAAGCTTTTACACACAGAAGTTTTTACACACAGACGCTTTTACACATAGACGCTTTTACACACAGGCGCTTTTACACACAGAAGCTTTTACACACAGACACTTTTACACCCAGACCCTTTTACACACAGGAGCTTTTACACACAGAAGCTTTTACACGCAGACGCTTTTACACACAGAAGCTTTTACACACAGACGCTTTTACACACAGACGGTTTTACACACAGTTGCTTTTACACACAAACACTTTTACACACAAACACTTTTACACACAGACGCTTTTACACGCGGACGCTTTCACACACAGAAGCTTTTACACACAGACGCTTTTACACACAGACGCTTTTACACACAGAAGCTTTTACACACAGACGCTTTTACACACACACACGGGTTTACACACAGACGCTTTTACACACAAACGCTTTTACACACAGAAGCTTTTACACACAAACGCTTTTACACACAGACGCTTTTACACACAAACGCGTTTACACATGGCACAGACGCTTTTACACACAGTTTTTGACGATCGAACCTCATTTCGTGCGAAAGGGTGCGCGGGACAAGTGAAATCGCAATTTTACCGCCGTTTTTGGCGATCGAACCTCGTTTCGTGCGGAAGGTTTGCGCGGGACACCTTCAAATCGCAATTTTACCGCAGTTTTTGGCGATCGAACCTCGTTTCGTGCGAAAGGGTTGCGCGGGACACCTTCAAATCGCAATTTTATTTCAGTTTTTGGCGATCGAACCTCGTTTCGTGCGTAAGGGTTGCGCCGGACAAGTTGAAATCGCAATTTTACTTCAGGCGATCGAACCTCGTTTCGTGCGAAAGGGTTGCGCCGGACAAGTTGAAATCGCAATTTTACTTCAGTTTTTGGCGATCGAACCTCGTTTCGTGCAAAAGGGTTGCGTTTCGTGCCGTCTCGTTGGCACTGCCCCTGCCCCCGCCTTCAGAAGAGAAATAGAAAAGAAGGAGAGGGCAAGAGGGCAAGAGGAGAAGATGTGAAGATGTGAAAATGTGAGGATGTGAAGATGAGAAGATGTGAAGATGAGAAGATGTGAAGATGTGAAGATGTGAAGGTGAGAAGATGTGAAGATGAGCAGATGTGAAGATGTGAAGATGAGAAGATGTGAAGATGAGAAGATGTGAAGATGAGAAGATGTGAAGATGAGAAGATGTGAAGATGAGAAGATGTGAAGATGAGAAGATGTGAAGATGAGAAGATGAGAAGATGTGAAGATGTGAAGATGAGAAGATGTGAAGATGAGAAGGTGTGAAGTGAGAAGATGTGAAGATGAGAAGATGTGAAGATGAGAAGATGTGAAGATGAGAAGATGAGAGACAGACCCCCACTATTGGAAGAACCCTGCGCTCAGACGCTCTCGGGAAAAATGAAAAAATATGTTCTTGATGATTGGGTATCATAGAAACCGTTTCAAACCGTTTCGCGCTACTTCCTAGGAAATACTCCGAAACCGTTTCAAACCGTTTCCTACTATTTGCTACTTCACTCTGGCGAAAATCCCGGATAGTTTCAGATAGTTTCTGCATGTTGGCTAATTAGCAAATAGCCCGAAACCGTTTCAAATCGTTTCATACTACTTGCTGGGTAATAGCCCGAAACCGTTTCAAACCGTTTCAAACCAATCCCTAGAAGGCCTAAGTTAGACTACGTCTTTACTTTGCTATTATACATTAGTGTACAATTTATAGGATATTTAGGGAATAGTTTCTGCAAATTACACTATGTTTAAGAAATAGTTTCTCGCCCCCACAGACAAAGAGGCCAACGCACCTCCCAACATATATATATATATACACATGTATATTATATATATACATGTATATATTATATATATACATGTATATATATAATATATATATATATATAATATATATAATATATATATATAATATATATAATATATATATAATATATATATATATATGTCTCGGACAGGAAAAAACAAGGAAAGGCCGAGAGAAAGAGGTTCAATCAGATGGCTGCAAAGTGGCTCAACCGAAGCGCGTTTGGTTGGGGCACTCTGCATTCGGCAAATAGACTACTAGGAACGTAATTAACGTTGATGCTGGTATGCTAGGATATCAGCGAGAAGTTTGTGGAATGATTTTATGGTGCATGCGAGCCAGAATATCATGATAAGCTGCTGTTCACGTGTCAGCAACATCGAATGGTAGCTGATTTCAAGTCAAAAAATGACACTCAAAAGGTCGCGCCACATATTCTCTCAATACACATCTCTCCTTGCCCAGCTAGTTTTCGTCCCCTTCCCTGTGGCCTCAAGCAAGTTAAACGTTTTTTACAAGTTATAAGAGATATATGTTGTGCATAAGTGATACAAGTTGTGTAAGGGGTATAAGTTATATTGGGTTTATATATACATACATACTCGTATATATAAGTGTGGCAAGTTGCATCATACAATATAAATGTAAATATCAATATAAATCAATAAATATATATATATATATAATTATATCTGATTATATATGCATATATGTGCAAAATAATGAAAATAATGCCAAAATCGTTCTTTGTTTCAGTCTCATCATTTTTTTTTCAGGTTCCACGGGGTCTGCGAAAAAAATGCGCGACAACCAACGTGAACAAGAAGGCTTTGCTGCACGAACTGATTGAAGGATTTGCAGCTGAAAACTAGTTTCATCAAGTGTCACTGCTCTCTGATGACATGAACGCTTTCCTTTGATATACTGCTTGCTGCCAAGATTGGATGATATTTTCTTACAGGTCTCATGTGATTTCGATGGTTGGCGGCCAGTGGTGATTTTCTCCTCGTTTGCGCGATCAAAGCGAAATTTCGCAGTGGAGGCATTGCGACAGCTGTACCAAAAGTCCGAGACTTGTGTTCTTGGATATGTTCCATGAGTTTGAGTTCGCGCGTTTAATCTTTAAGCACACACAGCCGTGTGACACTAAGTAATTATCTCTATTACAAGGTGTTTTATGAGGTCGAAGGAGCAAATGATCAGTCTGATGATGCGTCACGTTCTCGCATGTTCTCGCGTTGACGTCCAGTCCAATCCTTCAAGGTACGCAGAGGAGTTGCCACCAGCTGATCATCCTGCAGGACACGCAATGGCCAGCATAGACTCATGAAATGTCATGGGAATTTACAAGTCAGAGACCAGAATACACAAGACTATCCTATGGCAAAGCGAGTGCCACGCCAAAAAGGCAGACCCTACCATGAGAGATTGTAAGGTACTTTGCCTCATGTTGGGTGGGGACTTCAGAATACTTCAGATGATTTCAACTTTCATGAAATGAGTCAATAAGCCGCCTTGAACAGGGCCGGATGGCATTGCTGGCGACAAATTTCTTGAGCTGTTCAAGGACAGAAAATGTGAACTGTCCCAACAGACAGCAAAGAAGCCGCAGACTGCGTATTGGTTGAGAAAAGCCAAGAAAAAGGAAAGGACGTGTGGTTGCACACTGGGTTTGACAAGCTGCTTGCGTCAAGATGCTTGGAATGAAGGACTTGGAGGTGGATCCCGGCACAGATGTTGCAGCCCTCGCACTTTCTTCTGTCTCACTGCTTAGTTTTGTGGGTCAGTTTGCCGCACAATCATTTGCAGTACAAGCGCTGTCAAAATTGCAAGACTTTCGCAGAATCTTCAGAATTGCGAAAAGCGTAAGCCTGTAGAGATTTCTTGTTCACTTCAGCTAGGCTTGCGCTGCTGCAGAGATGGGTGTTTTTCGAAGGTCAAAATTCCGGGGTGGCGCGCTTTCTCAATGTCCCCTTGAGAGATCGAAGATGCTTCTAGAGAGTGGTTCTGTTTATCAATTTGTTTTGAAACGAGACTGAGCATTATATACCGTTGGAGTACTTCAAGCTTTCTGCAAGGTTCCTCCTGTTTCTGCATGTTTCTGCAACAACGGCATCCTCGCCAAGTCTAGTGGTAGAAAAAGGACTGATGGACAAATCGACACAAAACACCTAAAGAAAGCTAACATATTCAGGGCATGTCATGGCTGGCTGCCTTCCATGTGCTCTGTTCATGGGACGGCAACGTAGAGGAAAAGAGTCAAAGTTGACACGAGGCGACAAAAAGATTGAACAGGAGAGAAAGTTCATTCCCCGGATCCTTAAAGGCTGCATGGATTGCATGGTGCCTGCTCCCAATCCCTGAAACAGTGCACTTAAAAACCAGTACCATAAAAGTGGAGGTTCTGTGTGGCACCATATGGCACTTGTTTTTCCCAAAGCATGTTACGGCAGCTGTGCAGTTGAAGCAAACCTGTGCGATGAAGACAACAAGCCAACCGTGAAATTGGACGTGCATCTTTCAACAGACATTCGGAACTTACCAGTATCAGATCTGTAAAATTGCACTTCAACTTCTACAGATACCCGTTGAAATTTTTGTTACTAAATCTGAGGCCTCAGGGCCGTTACAGAATGGTTTTTGGCTACCATTTTGTGCAAAATTTTGACCCTGGGTTCTGCCATCTTGTAAGTGGACCCCCCCCTGGTACCGGAATTTTGCATTGGAAGTGCGAGTTTGTTACCCTCCAGTCCCGACCATTCTGTCGGAGTCTGGAGGGCTAATCAATAACCACTACAAATTGGATGGATTCAAAGCGTAAATGGATAATACTCAACTATAGCCCCTACAAACTGGATGGAATCAAAAAATCACAGAATAATTTTCATAGCCTAGGAGATCTCAAATAAGAGTGTATATTGAATGCATCAAGTTCCAATGCAGTCTGATAAGTGCACTTTATTGATGCCAACGTGAACAAATTTAACATCAGTCGCGACTTGCGAGGCTCAGCAACAATTAGCCCAGGCACCCCATGTCAACCTTTTGCTGTCCCACTGCGGCTTACCCATGCCTTCTATGCGGCTGTTGCAGGTTACTTCCCAGGGATCCTAGGATAGTGCGAGTATAGCCACCCCCAGTCCCACCATTCTGTAAAGGGCAAATCGAGCCAATGGATGCGAGCGGATGCGAGTCGAGCAAAATCGGTGACTCATTTTGTGACATCCAACATTGTATTTAATGTTTAGCTTGGCCACTCAGACAGCATCACGCCAAAACAGACGGATGAACGCAAAAGAACGGAAAAAATGAACCGCGACTCGGGTTGGCCGGGCTGTTGCAGGTTACTTCCCATGCAGGGATCCTAGGATAGTGCGAGTATAGCCACCCCCAGTCCCCACCATTCTGTAAAGGGCAAATCGAGCCAACGGATGCGAGCGGATGCGAGTCGAGCAAAATCGGTGACTCATTTTGAAACTAGGGGTCAGATAATATATATATATATATCTATATATATCGATATTTATATTTTTTGATTATGACATCCAACGTTGTATTTAATGTTTAGCTTGGCCACTCAGACAGCGTCACGCCAAAACAGACGGATGAACGCAAAAGAACGGAAAAAATGAATCGCGACTCGGGTTGGCCGGGCTGTTGCAGGTTACTTCCCATGCAGGGATCCTAGGATAGTGCGAGTATAGCCACCCCCAGTCCCCACCATTCTGTAAAGGGCAAATCGAGCCAACGGATGCGAGCGGATGCGAGTCGAGCAAAATCGGTGACTCATTTTGTAACTAGGGGTCAGATAATATATATATATATATCGATATTTATATTTTTTGATTATGACATCCAACGTTGTATTTAATGTTTAGCTTGGCCACTCAGACAGCGTCACGCCAAAACAGACGGATGAACGCAAAAGAACGGAAAAAATGAACCGCGACTCGGGTTGGCCGGGCTGTTGCAGGTTACTTCCCAGGGATCCTAGGATAGTGCGAGTATAGCCACCCCCAGTCCCCACCATTCTGTAAAGGGCAAATCGAGCCAACGGATGCGAGCGGATGCGAGTCGAGCAAAATCGGTGACTCATTTTGTAACTAGGGGTCAGCTTGGACTGCCATTTTGTAACAAAAACCTTCCTCGGTGAACGTTGGGTTCTGCCAACTTGTAAGAAGGGCACCTTGGGGACGCCGTTCTGTAGCTACAAAATGGGGCTCCCAACCCCTCGGGTCCAATCTGAACGGGGATTTCTACAGTATTCAGATGTATTCAGTATTCAGCATACCAGTATCCACATGTATCCACAATCAATGCTTGGTTTGAGCTTTGAAATCCATGGAGGTGCGCACTTGTGCACCTCGCAATGACCAGACATATCCAGACTCATTTGACATCGGAAGAATTTGTTGGAACATGTGGCTGCGAGTCAAAATGTAAAGCCCCGATCCATACCCTGAACCCACAGGCCGATCCATACCCCCGATCCATACCAAACACAGGTGATCCAGACCGATCCATACGTCTGGATCACCGCGGGCCGATCCACAACCCCATGTAGCGCCTGAAATGCATAACATGTTATTTTAATCCGATCCAACATAGGCGATGCCATGGCTTTTCAAGTTTTGTCGGCTTAGCCGGCTTAGTCCCTGGCTACACAACGCAACTCACATACTGCAGGCACGCAAAGCTGATTGCACCATTTTCATCCATTTTCAACCAGGAAACTCAAGTATACAACCCAAGAGCATGCACGAAATGGACCCGCATGCATGGGGCGAAGCAATCTGCGCTTTGCGTGGCTTTGTTGAGAGGAAAGCCGCCCCTTGTCTCCGGAACATCCGGAACAGCTCAGAATCGTCGCAGCTCATTGGCTGACTTCTTTTCTTGCAGTTTGTTTGGTCAGTTTGTTTGGTCATTGTCATTGTGCCTTGCATCAGGGTGACATATGCGGTATCTCCAACACTTGCAGCTTTGGTCAGACAAGTGGCATTCAGTCTCTTGCAAACTACAAGCTTTGCAACATTGAAGTCGGTCAAAGTCTAAGATCAAAGCACCAAGAAGAAGTCTACGGTTTGCATCAGGCAGAATGTGCTTGAACATGGAACATTATGGAATGTTAATATATGTAGATTCAAAACGCGCGCATGGTTTGCTTATAAAGATCCAAGCTAGCTGACGCGCCGAGCATTGTCATACAATATCTTGGAGTTCTTGGTTTCGCCACCGGCCATGACAAGAGAAACGGAAAGCTGCGGATATGGCTGATCGATACCATCTAATCAAGGCGTCTGACCGTCTTGTGATTCTTGTGTATGTGTTTTTAAAAACCTAGCAAATGTAGTCCTGCCTGATGGTTCGCAGCAAGGCAAGACCAAATCTCAGCAGACTCAAGCGGCAACAAGTGCGGCAACAATGAATTCAGCATCCATCCCTTTGCAAGACGGACTTGCACGCGAGCGCATACCTACCCGCGCATGTACGCACAGAGCCATGCCCAGAGAGACATGCATGCATTCTTGCCAAGACTCGCCACCATGTTTTTTGACCATTTTTGAAGAGCATTTTGCGAGTGGCCCTCCAGGCGAGAATTCATTTGTGGCTGCGCTGCATTGGAGGCCAACCATGTATATGCCCATGGCCGACTGTATCTGTGTTGATCTTGTTTATGCTTGCTTGACCCGTACTTTGCAATACTGGGAGCACAGGGCGCGACTCCATGCGACTCCTATAGAGATGCGTATATAATATGATATAACCATAACTATAACTAAGTCAAGTATAACATACTATAACCATAACTTTAACATACTTTAACTATAACTATAAATTTAACTATAACTATAACGATAACATACTATAACTATCTATAACTACAATATAACTATAATAATCATCCATAATAATCCATAATATATGTTTATATTCATATGCACGTGCAGAACCCGCTATTGAATTCAGAAAATATGAAATTTACTTCTCTTTCGTTTTCTGCTGATGGTACAGGGGTGGAATGGAGTGGTCTTAGTGCGTTAAATTGCATTTGATTCGCCTTGCACAGGGCCTGTTCCAAGACCTGTGGATCAGCCGTAGTCATTGGCTCTAAATACGGTTGAGGTTTGTTTCGGGATGATTTTTATTTTAATCTATTTTTCTAAATTGCGTTGCTGATTAGTTCTTAATGCTATTAATGCTTGTAAATTCCATTAGATTGTCACTACACGGTGTTGTCTTGCTTGTTGCATGTTCGAGATCTTTCGAGCACATTGCGAGCACATTGTGATTGATTGCCCTGCTCTGTGGCTTAAATATGGCAGTCACCTGCGCATTTAGACATGTCAAGCCAAACTATACATGTGATCCTTACATTTCGCATACATTACCAATAATAATTGACCAATACTACCCAAGTCCTTTTTGTTTCTGGGCCTGAAGAGGGCGCCACATCGCTTGTAACTCTCAATACTCTCGTCTCTGCATCGCTTCAACTCTCGAAATGACCATTCACAGTGTTTGCGAACAGGAAGAATATGTTGATGATATTTTGTGAGACTGCAAGATGCTCCAGAGAGACAGCTTGCCTGAAAGCAGGTTGACAACATTGCAGACCTTCGCGGCAAAATGCCGGAACTGCGAGATAATGTCTTATCGGGCAGGTCATTGCCTGAAGTTTATGCGTGCCTTGGCCATTCGACTTCAGCTGTTTCACTGTTGGAATCATGACAGTCTTGCTGACTACTCCTGACTCAAATTGGCAATGCTAATCATGACTAGCCGCGGATAAGCCAGGTACACTTTCGGAGTTGCCCTGGAGCCCCCTTGCAAACTGTTGCCCCTTGAAGAGGTGCACATCAGACTATCCACACTGTTGATCGATTTCACTGACAGCCGCTGACAGCCTCCAGGCTGCACAGTACTGGGCTCTCCTATTGCCAAACTGGCCTTTGAGGGAGGACTTCTGTGAATGGGCGATGAGGTCAGGGTGTCAACTGTCAAAGTATATTGATTCCCACAGCATGCCACTTCCGAAACGAGCGCTGAAGAACTGCAACCAAACATAGTGTTGAATCCCTCGACCATATTTTATGAGTTGCTTTTCTGTCATTGTCCTTTGCTTACACAATCTTACATATATATGTATATACACATATACAATTATATGCATACTGTAAATAGACTCTATATATACAATATATAAATCCCTTACCATTTCCACTACTAAAAGGGTGAACACGTGCTTGGTACCATCCTCTGATTCGTGGATAATTCAAGCAAAAAAAATGGACCCGTGCACCAGTTTTTGTAGTAAAAGGGTGTGCACTGTATCTTGTAGCGGCGTTCCATTTTATACTCATAAATCGGAAACGCATTTTGTAGTGATTTATTTTGGGATGCGTTGTGTCGTGCCGGAAACCCTATAGCCCTCTTTTACCAGTCATGCTCGGTTATATGAACATATAGCTTGGACCCTCAGACCATTTTTGGCTCTTGACTCACGATTATTTCGTGGTAAGATGAGCCCCCAAAAAATCGAAAAAAAAACAAATAAGGTAGAGACTTTAAGACGGAAAAATGGGACAGACTTGGTTTCAAAACCAATCAATTGAAACTGAAGTTGTGCGCTCAGATCGTTTTTGCTGCCCCATAGCTCTGACGATTGCAGTTCAAAACCTCTGCGCCGTGCTTTTGTCACACCTTTTTTGGCCATCACATGCGATTATCAATTAAAATCTATATAAATCTATCCCATTCTACTAGGCTCCTGCTCTTTTTGTCCAATAGTCAAGTTTCACCCCAGTTCAACGAATCCATGCTCAGAGTTCCTTTCACCCACAATGTCACAAAGCACAGATTCGATGCGTGGTGTCCTAGTTTCTGGATGACTTGTGTCATGCACTGCATTTTGTAGTGACACACGCGTGCACAACCTTTTGTAGAACCTTCTGCGCCCCCCTCCAGATAAGCCCCAAAAAGTTCGAAAAGCATGCTTTTTATGTAGAGACTTTAAGAAGGAAAAATGGGACAGATTTGGTTTCAAAACCAATCAATTGAAACTGAAGTTGTGCGCTCAGATCGTTTTTGCTGCCCCATAGCTCTGACGATTGCAGTTCAAAACCTCTGCGCCGTGCTTTTGTCACACCTTTTTTGGCCATCACATGCGATTATTAATTAAAATCTAAATCTATCCCATTCTACTAGGTTCCTGCTCTTTTTGTCCAATAGTCAAGTTTCACCCAAGTTCAACGAATCCATGCTCAGAGTTCCTTTCACCCACAATGTCACAAAGCACAGATTCGATGCGTGATGTCCTAGTTTCTAAATGACTTTTGTCATGCACTGCATTTTGTAGTGACACACGCGTGCACAACCTTTTGTAGAACCTTCTGCGCCCCCCTCCAGATAAGCCCCAAAAAGATCGAAAAACATGCTTTTTATATAGAGACTTTAAGGAGGAAAAATGAGACAGATTTGGTTCAAAACCGATCAATTGAATTTGAAATTGTGCGCTTAGATCGTTTTTGCTGCCCCATAGCTCTGACGATTGCAGTTCAAAACCTCTGCGCCGTGCTTTTGTCACACCTTTTTTGGCCATCACATGCGATTATTAATTAAAATCTAAATCTATCCCATTCTACTAGGTTCCTGCTCTTTTTGTCCAATAGTCAAGTTTCACCCCAGTTCAACGAATCCATGCTCAGAGTTCCTTTCACCCACAATGTCACAAAGCACAGATTCGATGTGTGATGTCCTAGTTTCTGGATGACTTGTGTCATGCACTGCATTTTGTAGTGACACACGCGTGCACAACCTTTTGTAGAACCTACTGCGCCCCCCTCCAGATAAGCCCCAAAAAGTTCGAAAAGCATGCTTTTTATGTAGAGGCTTTAAGAAGGAAAAATGGGACAGATTTGGTTTCAAAACCAATCAATTGAAACTGAAGTTGTGCGCTCAGATCGTTTTTGCTGCCCCATAGCATTTCCCCTAGTAAATGCTATGACCCATTTAGTAGCGAATCATTATTTTTCATTGCAACCCGTTTTCACTACAAAATGGTTCCGTAAAGTCATTTTGTAGTGACCGACATTGGCTTTTGATCCATCATAAAAACACCCAAACCATTTTGTAGCAAGGGGGGTTGGTTCAGATTCAAGCTTCATTTTGTAGTATAAGGCTGTGTTTGTAAACGGTTTAGTGGGCACAACTTCTCTGCAGAATGCACACAGGGATCAATATATATTATACACATTTTTTGTCTAGCTAACCAAGAAAGTCAGGCGATTCCCTTGACCCAGTTGATGAAGCACGCATGTAGCACCAGGCACATGAAAGGGAAGGCCATCAACAGAGACTTGTGGATGATGATCTTGAAGCTGGCGACTGAAGTGTCCCTGCCTTGTTTCTGCCGATCTTCAAAAGATGACATGGGTCTATTGGCCTTTTTGGAAACACGAAAGCATGTTCCGAACTGGGCCCGGACCCAAGCCTATTTTTCCTGTTGAGACTTACTTTCCGCAGCGTATTTGCATGCATTTCCTCTTCTCTGTTGTGCGGGGGAGGCATATCTGGCTTATGTATGAAGTGGTACAAGACAGGGAGCAATGACTGAAGAAATCCGTCATGTTGTATTTTGATGGATGATGAGAGGGTCGCAGTGCTCTTGTCGGTGGATTTGATATGATTGATTGGTTTTTGGTTTGAAACTGATCATGGATTGGAACCTGCAATGGCTTGTGCTTGCCTGTGCCAGGTCCCAGCAGACTTGTCGACTTTTAATGAAAATCCTGCCTGGCCCGTTGTCCTCGATGACTTCGTCGAGTGCGCAGAGCATCTTCAGAGGAAAGACGTCTTATATGTTCAATGCATAGGAATCATGTGTTTCTGCGAACTGTAGAAAATGCACGCGCATGCAGATGTATCTGTCAATTATCTGTATGCATAGACTCATTCGTGTGTTGCCGGTTGATGAGAAGCAAGTTCAGCTTGCATGGTTTGGGAAAACAAGGAAGCATTGCAGAAACGGTGATGCGCTTGAATGGCACAAGACCGGTTATGGGGCTTTGATTGCCCAAAATTGTTAGGACAATCAATTTTTCAGATCTTGAGAGAACAAAGTACTGTGGAAGGTCAAATGCAGACAAGGCAAATGAATATGCTCTCACGCACCTGCACACGAACTTCATGATCAAATTATGTGTTCTCAGTTCTCACACCCTTTCGCCGTGAGACCCTTGAGTTGCCAATCACCTTAAGGTTGCTGTGGTTTTATTGCCTCTTATCTATGTGCCCCAAAGATAGGGGAGGCTATGCCCGCACCTGAAGAAGTGTTGGTCAACCAAACCTGTTTCAGATTAGTGAGAGAGGAGAAGCAGCAGCGCAGGTACTACAAAGTGCAGAAGGGCCTCTGAGTAGTGAACAAAAAGAATTCCCTCGCTTCTCAACAGATGCTTGGGTTCCGTTTGTCCAAACAGATTGTCACTCATCACTAGCATGCGGCTTCAGAGTAGGATATAGTAGGATCTTTTTTCGATCATTTGCAGCAGGTTTCACTTCAAGACTAGCACAATCCATATCTTCAGTGTGTCCAAAAGAGCTGACCCGGTGGAGCGCAGGAAGCTTCTGCCACTGGCTACGGTGTGATTTGCAGGTGATGACTTGTGGTAATGCAAAGAGGCAAAGGAGAGCCTGGAGTCACAGATGGGGATAGGGCACTGAGATCTGCACGGAGAATACAATCGCAACATGTGTGCGTGTTCAATTCGTAGCCCATTTTGCTCCATGCGGAAACTATCCACCTCTGCTTTTCCTCTTGGCCACGCGGAGGAACTCCAAACACTGTTTGTTGTCAGCTGACAAGCGACTATGCATCATGTTTGATTTATTTTCAGTTTGTCAGTCTTGGGCGCACACAGAGACACACCAGACTTAAGCAATGCCACATTAGGTGGCAGATTGGAAAGTGAATCCCTCGCTCATTGCACGACATGATCCTACAGGGGTCTTGACCAGTTGCATCTTGTTGTTGAAGGCGCATCTTAAGTGACTCCTGCCATGCAAAACACAGTTTTGCTTGTACTCTGTGATCTGCTACTTGCACTAAATCAAAGATGCTGCATGATTTTGCAACTTTACATGAGCTGGCTGTTTTTTTAATGTTTTCGTTTGCATAGTTGACGGCATCCCTTACATTTTTGGCAGTTCAAATTCTCAAACGGTTGCCGCACGATGAAGATGAATACTGTAACTCTTTTCCAGACTACTTCCAACGTTCTGCGCCTTCCATGTTGAACCTTCACGGCCCGCCATGTAGTTTGGAACCTGCCAACATATTCTACCTTTCTCACTCAGTCCCAATATGCCCAATCGTTCCTTGCAGCTGCCATTCAGAGATACATGGCTTTGGCTCGACAACGAACATGGCACAGCAGTAAGATCCAATAAGAAAGCCAAGGAAGCACCTCTAATACAACGCCAGGCGACGAGAAATTGCAGAAGTGAAATGATGCGAAATGATGCCGAGGGATGAAGCAACTTACAAAGAAAAACGTGCAACAGGGGGTGGCCATAGCATTTCTTTCCTTCAGCTCCAAGTTGCCAAGGCTGCACTTTTAAAAGGCTTGAAATTCTGAAAGGTCAACGCAACGCAGCACAACATGGCAAAACCATGCAAAAGACTGCAAAACTATGGTGTTTGATTTTCCAGCATTTTATAAAGAGTCGAGGATGAGAGACTTGGCTCCTATACTTCGTGAAGCCCTGTGTGTAAAGTCTTCTTAAGGGCCACAGATTTTGAATACACAATTCCCGTCATTGCCAGCTTTTCAGGACAATCAGAAGATGCTCAGTGACGAGCCCTTGCCAGGCTGACAGGGTCAGGGAAAGTTTGGGAACATGAAGCGGGTAAAATGAATCCAGATGAAAAAATGCCAATGCAACATGCTGCCTAACATGCTGCAAAGATCTGCAACTGCTGTGGAAATGTTGTCCTTCTCTGGAGATATTAAAATTCTTGCACGCTGTTGCTGCGGCAACCGGTGGACTTTATAGCTTTGCACGTTTTGTCCCTGTCTTCTTATTCTTTAGATGTTGGTGTTTTCAAAGTTCTTGTTTGTCCTGCTGCGTGTAGTGTTTGTCCTCGTTGGGCTTGTCGGTTCTTTTTCCAGTGTTTGCCAATGCTTTGTTCGTCCAACTGCGCTGTCGATGCTTTCTGGTATTTTCATCCAAATCCAAATCTGGAAACGAAACTCCATACAATGGCTTTTGCAGCAGGACATCAATGCTGAGAGATTACTTTTTCACTTTGGAGCCTAAGACTGCCTTCCATTCGAGACTGACAAGAGCTCCTGCAGCCATCGCAACTTCCTAGCCCTAGGCCCTAGGCCGCTCAATCATGCATGTGTGATGTTTTGACCGGTTTTGGCTCTTGAGCGTGTGTGCCAAACATGTTTCTTATTTTGTTTTTGTTCAGCCTCACCTCTGGCGAACGTGTCTTTGCCCGTAACGATTTTTGCGATGGCTTCTTGCTTGAAGATAAAGACAAGAACGCAATCGCCCTGCGTCCAAGGAAGTCATCAGCAAGGTTGATTGACACCTTTGCATTTGGAAACGCATACGAAGGGGAGGAATTGCTCCTTCGACTCTATGAGATGGCCGAAGAAGTGTCAGAGTTTCACATTGTTGAGGGCGATCGCGACTTCACAGGAGCAACTAAGCCTTACACTTTCGACGAACTGCTCAATAGTGGGCGCTTGGGTGCATGGCAAGACAAGATCACATACCACAGGGCGAAGATCCCAAAGGAGGTGAAGGGCTACAAGTTGCAGGATGCACAGAGGCGGGAGTGAGATTGAAATTGCATAGTGTGCAAGTAAAAGGGTTGCAAAGGGATGTGGAGGGATGCAAAGGGGTGCAAAGGGAACGAATTGGAGGCGCCCATTGAAAACAAGACACAGACAGAGGTCGCTGCAGGCAAGCTGTAGGTCTTAGGACAGACCGTCTCGATCAGCTGCATGCAAGCTTGAATTTCTGCGGGGATTCTCTTCGTGGCATTAATCATTATCCTGGTATATCCTGATCTTGTATTGCTTCAATATTTGTTTCACCTTGAAAAGCCAGCTAGGCTCGAAAGTTTTGTTTGATCCCTGCAAGGCAAGCCATGCGATCGCAGATGCGTTCTTACAGGGGCTATGACCAGAGCGACATCCTATTGGAAGGGGACTTGGATGAGATTGTGAGCCAGAAAGCTTTGCAAGCCTTGAAGCATTGTGAGCCGGTCACAGGTGCGTGGAATACACACATCCACATGGCCAACTTTTATTACAGCGTTGCTTGGACCAGTGGTGACTGGGGTTTTCCGACAACTGCTGCCTTTTTCAGCGAAGTGCAAGATCCTCCCACTGCTCCCACTGCTTCTGCCGCCTTCTTTGAATCTGGATCTGTTTGGACACGGCCGAACATGCTGAGCGCTAGGGACGGCAGTGTGTTGGGGTGGCATTTTGGATGGATTCTCAATGGCTCTGCTGGGCTTGCGCACAAGATCTTCATCCATGTGGAAGGCTTCCCAGATTGGGCCAAAGGGTTTCGAAATGAAGCTGCTTTAGCGACGTTTCTAGAGACTTCCTTCTACGCCAACCCTGACCACTATGATCCTCAAATCTATCCTTCAAAGCTCGGGAAGACAGACTTGCCGCAGGCGCTCGTTTCCCACCCAGAGGAGTTTCCGAACATCTTGCGTGATGTGAAGTGGTAGATCTGGATCTGCAGCTTGCTTGATGTCAAATGCTAGATTGGATGTGAAATGCTAGATTCGATGCATCCTGCACTCTGCATTCCGACTTGCTGCAAAAGAATTGCGGCCTCTACATGTCCGGGGACTGCAAATTACTATAAGCACTCTATAAGCGGTTTCTTGCCCATTGGGTTTGAAGGCGACGCGTATCGGCTGCGCCCCGCTCTTGAATTCGTAGATAGCAGCTGTCAAATACTTTAGTGTGACTCTTGCTTGTAGTAAGGTGTTGGTAACGGCTAAAATCACCACTCATGCGACAACGTCAGGCTTACAACCCCGTTCTGGCTGGGATGATGCTTCTTGAGAGGTTATTGGCAGTATCAGTGTGCCCATGACCGTGATACGACATCCTCCTATCCTCATCATCAGAATATATCAGAATCATCTTCAGTGCAATTATCTGCATTGGTTTCAGATGGTTTCAGTTGGGCCATCTTCATGAGCACAGGAGAGTGCTGTTTCAAACCTCAACCTAGATGCGGGAGGCGAAGCTTTTGCCCCATGGGCAAAGTCAGGTTTCGCTTCTACAGATTTCTACAGTATGTCCTCTTGGCGCCATCCTGTTAGCTTTTGTTCCTTCACCCACCTTCACCCTGCACTCAGCTTGGTTACTTGTATATGCTTACTGCGACTTTGCTGCTATGACATGCTTTGCGCTGCGGGCACCAGGCGTTGAACAAATTGACCAATTGCGGGCTCTGATTTTTGCGTGGTTTTTGATGGTTTTTGTGAGTGGTTACGTTACGCAACCAGTTGCGCTTCTAAGTCTTGTACCATGGGGTATGATAAGTTTCCAGTCATTGAGCTATTCAGTTATGATCAGTTAAAGGATGTTAAAGGTATTGCGTTACAGTAAATGTTCATGTTAGGTGTCAGGCTGATTTCTGAACTTGTTCAGTTGGAAGAGCGGTTGGATCAATCAATCTATCTATATAGGTGAATGTAGTCTTACTGACTGGCATTGTTTGCCGAGCTGAACCACAGGCAGATACTATACTACAGCATTACCCTGCTTCAGCAAGCGTTCTCCTTGTCCAAGAATGTTCTTTCGTTGCATAGCAGAGTGGGCACAATGGGAATTTGATTGTAATCAATCCGCTACCACCACATATGGAGTGCTAACAAAGGTGCCGACTTCATGTGAGGCTTGCAGGAGAGCGGAACGGTTTAATTTCTGGGAAGAAAGTTGATCCAAGCGCCCGGTGCTTTGTCAGGTGGAATCATCACCTGTGTGCAGTTTACAGTACCTTCTTGGCCATCTCGCCTTTCGGTTTTCCGCAGTTTGTGTTTTGTGATGTTTTGTGTTAATTGAGGTTTTGCATGTTACGCATGCTCTATGTTATGTGACATGGGGTCAAGCTATGTCGCCCGATGTTATTTCATACGTCAAGTGAACTCAAACTATAAATGTTTCTCCTGCATGCGTGCATGCACGTATGTGCGTAATGCCATCCAATGCCATGCGATGTGATGTCATTGTCAAGCAATGTCATGTAATGTCACGGAACGTAATGTAACGAAACGTAACGCAATGTGCTGCGCATGGTGTGTGTGTGTGTGTATCAAAGTACTTTCACATTTTGAAAAAAACTCCTGCGCCTTGTTCCGAAACATGACATGTGCTAAACCACTAAAACCTGAGGTGTAAGGCACAGACAACAGCACCAACAACAACACTGACACCACATCAGAAAGAATGCCAACGCACAACTTTGACACTGACAGGATCCACTGACAGCATCTCGGGTGTGCGAAGCTCTACAATATCCATCTTTTGGCAGAAATGGCGAGCACATCATACACCATGAGACACAATGACATATTTTAGAATTAGAATGTGACATGGTATCAGATGTGAATAGACCGATATATTATAATATATTATCACATTTTGTGCCACCTGCTTTGTATCATATGTTTAAATGAGGAAAGAATTGAAGAGCCATCACCGAATATGTAATATTATATATATACATATATACATATAATATCATATAACTATATATAAAATTATATAAACGGATCTATTTGAGCCGTTGCGATCCTGCATGAGAGAAGCTGTCCACTAAAGCACCAAAAGGATCGAGTCGTTCACCTCAGCGCACAACAGCGGCACCAGAAAGCCTTTCAAAACAAGAAGCATGTTGAAACACACCGCGACGGTCCAGTCGGATGTCCAAGGTTTTCACCGGGCTGCGAATCGCTGGCAGCTTGTTCTGATGGGACGGAAGACATCCTGGAACAGTGGATCCGTTATGATCCGTTCGAATCAACTTGAATCAACTTGTCAGAAGGACCCAATTTGCCATGCCAACTCCATCCCAGGGTTGACAAGGTGTAAGCACTAACTTGGCAGTTGATGATGCCGATTTGCCGTGGCGATGCCATGTGTTTCCCTTTTACATCCTTGTACTACATATTTGGGTGAAAAGATATGTTCAATGCTTTTTTCAGGCCAAGGACAGCAATAGTGGCTAAAGTAATAACATCTGAGACAGACTTCTCTTAAACTCAGCTGCTTTAGTCTGAAACTTCCACATTGAAACCAAATAGCCCGATATCTGCTTGGATGCAGCATCAGTTGGGACAGAATGGTGTGTATGTTTTTAAAATCTAGGTACATTTGTTTTCAATGTCACCGTTCCAGATTCAGTCTCTCTTCTCCTTTTGCTTGTGTCACTTAGCACTCAACTCTGTAGATAGTGCTGCCATGTATCCCTTAGACTCGCTTGCATCAAATGGATGTGTAGTGGAAAGTGCAGTGCAGGAGCGGAGATGAGCAGTATATCAAAAACACGGACGGCTTAGGAAGATTCCGCAACACGGGTCCAGCTAGTTGGCTTGGGATCAGATGCGCATTTTCTTTGGTTTCTCGGGCCCATGGTATCTCCATTCTGATGCAGTTTGCTTGTGCTTGTTGGTTCAGTTCTATTCTTATAGCTGATGTTGTACTGATATAACGAAATACGATGCAATACGATGCAATGCGCACTGAATGAAATCTGCGCTTCTACTACAGCCAGTTCCATGGAGGATGCAGCACCTTTGCTGCTGAAGGATTGCTGCTTGCAGACGGGAGTTGATGGTTCAAAATACATGCGAGCAAAATCAATACAGAAAAGGAGCCATCCATGGCAAGGATGGAAGAGTTTAGGAGTCCAGGGTAACCGTATTCATGATCAATTATTCACCCACCAGTCAAGTTTTTGTATTCAATGTCTGAGTGAGGATGATGAAAGAATCTTGAATCATGTGATTTTTATTTGGTGGAGTTCCGGTGTGATTCTGCCATAGCCAGTTATTGGCCAAGAGTTATTACCTTAGGCTAGCATCACTATTTTGAACCACCGCCTCAATTCCATTGACGTTTGTTTTTTCCCTTGCCAGTACCTCATCAAACGATATTTTCTGAAACCGATGCCATAACAGCACAAGAGAATTGATACATTTTTTTTTGTGAATTTTGATTGGGCGACAAATCAGTTCAGTTGATTTGTCAGCGTGGGACTCAGCTCCTGTCTCCCGGTGTCACTGTCTCCTTGGTGTTAGACTGCCTGCGAAATACTGCGGTTATAAAAGGGAAACCAAACCCTTGAGATTCCAAAGCTGAAGATGCTGTAGCACGTTTTTGTTCGCTTCTTGGCGGAAGCGATGGTTGGGTTTGCTTGCTTGGCCCTTCAACAATACTTGAGTTAGCCTGCGGTCTCTGAGCATGCAGCACGAAACGCAGCTCTGCTGGCCCTGTGTGGAGGTTTATCCCTCTCTCCACTGCATGCTTGGGGATTGTGGGGGTGGGGCTTCGCGGTTGGCTGTGTAGGAGGGCCCGTCTAAAGACCTGGGGACGGCTCGTGTGAACCTCATCTTGGCAGCGCCCGTGGGGGGAACCTCTGGTGAACCCTTTGAGGAAGCTTTGCTTCCGTGGCCTCAAGATGTTGAGTGCTGAGCCTATTTTTCTTGGCTGGGCCGGGCACACTTGCAAGACCCGGCGAGGACGGGTGAGACTCACAGCGAGTGAGCTTAGCCTAAGCCTTCTCTCGTGTTGCGGTTGGTGCTAGGCAAGCAAAGCCAGCTTGAGCGACCGGTGGGGCGCGGGCAAAAGCGGGCAGCGGCATTGGAGGAAGAGGAATCTCAATGTTTTGGATGGGGGGGTTGTTTTTTTGTGTTGTCCGCTGCGCGCTCTTTCTTTTCCGTCAGTTCACCTGCCTCTAGCTGCATGATGCTAGCGCTTGACGAGGAGCCACACACACCTCTTTCTTTATCATTGTTTGTGGCACGAGAAAGCTGCCTTCCCTCCGGTATTCCACTTTTCATCTCATGATTTTTAGGGCAGTGCACACTTTCCGTTTTTTTATCACCGTTGGCAGTCAACCTAAAATACATTGCATGAGGTTGCATTGCATGATACTGCATTGAATCACCTTGCACTGCACGACGTTGCATTGCATGACAGCACATTGTATGACAGTGCATTGCATGATGTTGCACTGCATGACGTTGCATTGCATGACAGCGCACTGCATAACAGCGCATTGTATGACAGTGCATTGCATGACAGCGCATTGTATGACAGTACATTGCATGATGTTGCACTGCATGACAGTGCATTGTATGCCGTTGCACTGCATGACAGTGCTTTGCATGATAGCACATTGCATGACAGCTCATTGCATGACAGCGCATTGTATGATGCTGCACTGCATGATGTTGCATGGCATCATGTTGCATTGCATGACAGTACTGTGCATTGCATAACAGCGCATTGCATGACAGCGCATTGATTGCATGAAAGCGCATTGCACGACAGCTCATTGCATGACAGGGCGTTGTATGACAGTGCATTGGATGATATTGCACAGCTTGACATTGCATGGCAAGACAGGAATATGCATTGTATGACAGCGCATTGCATGACAGTGCATTGAATGATGTTGCAGTGCATGACGTTACATTGCATGACAACGCATTGCATAACAGCGCATTGTTTGACAGCGCATTGTATGACCGCGCATTGCATGACAGCTCATTGCATGACACTGCATTGCATGATGTTGCACTGCATGACGTT